AAAAAAAATCTTATAAAAAAAAGTCAAATTTTTGGATAAATATTTATATTCCTATAAATAAATAAAATGCTTTTTTTAAATGAGAAATTCATTTTTGAAAATTAAAAAATAGTTCACAAAATCAGTTGTATATATTTACAATCAAATGACCAATATATAAAATGCATCGGTAAAATGAATACCCAAATGCAAACGGAAAAACTCTGGTTCCAAAGCCATCAAGTCACCGATTAGAGGAGAACCCGAATGGAGATTGGAGACCCAAATAAGGACCACGAGAAGACAAGTCGATCATTCATATTAACATTAGAAAATTTAGAAACAATTAAAATTAATATGGTAACATAACTTATATCATTAAATGAATCAAAAAATATAATATTATAAATTTTAATCAAATAAAATAAAATAAATTAATTATTAAAAAATATAAATTTTATTTTTTTAATATTTTAAATAATATAACTTATTAATTTTAAATTTTAATGCTATTCATCATTATTTCATCCTTATCCTATTAACAAACGTTAAATCCAGGGAATGACTCGTCGCGACGCGATGAATCGATCCTTTTTGAGTCGTTTTGGTCTGCGAAAAGAAGTTTTTGTTGTGCGAATTTGTTGTACGAATTTTTTTCCATTCTGATGGAGAGAGATAGCTGGCTGCGGATTTTTTAATTTTCAATCTCACGAACCTTCCTTCAATCTGCCTTTCTTTTTCAGTCCTCCATCAACGGGAATTTACATGGTTTCATAGATTGTCCCGTAATTTGACTGCCATTATCGATTTCAAATTCAAGGTGGCAGCCTGTTCTATTTTTATTTTTTCTTTTTCTGGGGGGTCAACAATGTGAAGAAGTATTTTTCTTTCGAGAAATGTCGTAGGATAGCGTGGTCTGCCAATTCAATTATTTTTAACCACTGATAGAAGATAGTCAATCTCTCAATTAATAATTACAAGAAATTAATTTTTGTAAAGCAATTTACACTACAATTTTATATTTTTCTTATTTATGTTTTTACAAATAAAAGTTATTTTTTATTTACAATTAAAATATTTTCAAATTAATTTTTACATTTTTTTAAAGACATATCCGTATATTGACATAATATATTTAATTAATAATTTTCTTAAATATTAATCTCACCCCTAATTCTATATTTAATTCATAAAATAATATTTAAAGCATGTGCAATAATGTTGTCTTCTATTATCCCTTTCCTGAGAAAAACAAGGGCAAAGTTCACCATCATTAGAGCTGTGTTCTTAAAAAATACTTACTTTTCACGTAGAACAAGCTCTCTTTTTAACTGTTTAACTTTAAAAAATATACTGACAGGCGCCACAATTACCGCTGATCTAAAGTAAAGGCCTCGAAATCCTTTCTACACGCCACTGGATCATAGAAATTTTTTTTTTTTAATTCAAATTTTTTATTTAAATATATAAATTATAATTAAAATAAGATAATAATCGTATGATTTATCAAAAAGTTTTGTTTTAAATATGTTTTTGAGGGAGATGTTTTGTTAGATATTTTATTTAGGTGTTAAATAAATTACAATGTAAAATTTTAAAACATATTATTAATTTCAATAATTTGATATTAAAATGAATTTTTGTAATATTCTCTATCATACATACTTTTATTACTTTTAAAAAATTAGTTGAGGATAAATATAAAGTTTTAATGAAAATATGATACATTTTAATTGTACCAAAAATTATTATGCAATTAAAATTGTTTAACAGAAATCTTTTTGTTTTCCAAAAAATTCTTAGCCGGCCTTTATCACGAGAGTTTGAATGTTAAGTGTACCACTTGCTTTGTTTAAAAACAAGAAAATAAGATTTTTCAAGTGACCCTTCTCCTTTCCAATAGTCGACCTTCAATGGGATGATTGGAAAGAATATCTGTGAAATAAATTGCGCCTCAAACGATGTTGTAAAATAGAGAGTGAAGTTCTGCAAAATAAGTTACTAATTACCTTGAAAACTTTCAAGAACTGTATAACCACAAAAGTGCAATAAAAGTTACAAATCCTAAACTTAACACAAAATCCAAAGGCAAACTAATCTAACAAGAGATCAATAAAAGAAAACAATATACCACAAAAATAAAATTTGTAGACAACTGAAAATGTAAAATCAAAGACAACAATTTCTACTACGCAATCCATAACAATTAAACTTAATTGCTTGCAGATTTAAAATAAAAATAGCTAAACTACTTGATAATTAAAACTGAAGGAGACTCTACGAAATAATTAAATTTTGAAAACTTATAAAATTAAATCTGAAAATTGAAATGAAATAAACTACATGTTTGGTTGTTGTGCAGAAACAAAAGAACAAAGGCTGAAAGTATTCAACCTATTTACAAGAACAAATAACATAACTGAATCCATAAAAGAAAAAGGAACTAACCAAATCAACATGGCAGACTTGTTTTGAAAGCTGAATTGCTTCCAAATGCTTAAAAACTAACCTAAATTGAAATCTTTGAAAGGAAATATGAACAAGGATGGAAAAAGCTAACCTAAGG